AAAAAAAAAAAAAAAAAAAAAGAAATAGTCATTGTTTATCTGACTATCTGCTTGTTTGTTTTGTTTGTTTGTTTGTTTGTTTGAAGGAAGAGAGAAGGCAGGCTATAAGAAGAGGTGAAAATATTTGCCTTAAGACATGACTGTTGGCAATGTGAGATCTTGTATAAGTACAGCTGTCTGAAAAGGAATTGGCAATTTGAGACACTGATGTAGATTAAAGTCCAAACAAAAGTAGAAAGAAAAGTGGAAGGGCAAACCCATAACTTTATTCTCTTCTGACCCAGAAGCTATAAATAAAATATCAATGCATTAATTCAATTCTTTGTAAGTATATCACAGTAATGAGTGAATTGCCTGAGCCTGCGGGTTCGAGACCCGCCTGGGCAGTGAGACCTCATCTCTACAATAAATCAAAAAATCAGCTGGGTGTGGTGGCGCATGCCTGTAATTCCGGTTACTCAGAAGGCTGAGGCGGAAGGATCGCTGGAGCCCAGCAGGCCGAGGCTGCGGTGGCCGGGAGCGGCCACTGCACTCCAGTCTGGACGACAGAGTGAGACTCCAACTCAAAAAAAAATAAATAAATAAATAAAATAAAATGCCAATTACTTATCTATCTTGATATGGTAAAAAGAAAACATGAGATTAACTTTGAATTGTTTAGGAATTTCATGTAATAGTCTGACCCCAAATACATTATTCTACAAGAATAACATTTATGTGAATCTAAGCCACAGAAAATGATTCATCCTTAAAACAAATGACTCATCCTTACTTTGGCAAGACTTTAAATTCATGAAGCACTTTACTAAAGTTTCCCAAAATACCTCACATAAGTAATTTCATTAGACACCTATGTTAATTCTGAAAGGTAAATAGGAGCTGTGTTATTATCCCCATCTTACATATAAGAGAACCAAGGTCTAAACCTTTGAAAGCAATGGCATTCAAACCTTTTGACAATAACCCAAAGAAGTCCATACTACACGGAGACCATGTTTATCTTTCTCTCTCTTTTTCTCATACATATATAACTGAGAAAAGGCTTTCATGAAATACTATCTTCTATCCATTTCATTTTTTAGTGTTGATTACAACTCACTTTGGGCACATCCTGCAGTTAAAAAAGCATTGCTTTAAAGGACTTCATTGGCATTTCCAATGTCACTTGGCCCATTGGACTCTAGTTTTTCCTTTATTATAGCTCTCTGCTATCTCTCTGAATAAAAGAGATGTCAACCCTGTGACTAACGTCACATATATTTGATGGAGAAGACAAGAGATCAAAAGGGCTTTTCATTTCTAGACTGTGGCACATGGTGAGTGTGTCTCCTGCTTCTCCAAACTCTACGGATAAGCCCATTGGCAAAGATGCATACTGTGGCAGCTAAGTTACATTAAAAGGATAACTTTAAACTTCATCTTTCTGTGTACATATTAATTTTCTGTTAGTTGAGAAATTCATACCTCAGCTGGGAAAAAAAAAAAACTAACAAACTAGTTGTCACTGCTCATACCTGGAAATCTGAGACTCCATGACATTTTGCTGGAACTTCGAATGACCAAACTTCAAATTGACCACCTTGATTTTTCACCTTCCTGATTATTAACCTCAGAAACTAAGCTCTGTGATGGTTTGAGGATGTGTTTTCAGAGGCTTCAGCATAGTGTAGCACAGAAATTTTCAAACTTTTTGGTGGTAATATAATTTTTTTTAAAGCCTGCATCACTATGTACACCATAAATCTGTACAATTATTTCATGTCTATTAAATTAAAAACATAAAATGCAGTACAAAAAAATCCTATGTGGAGCTCCAACAAATGAAACAGACATAAGTGACACTGCTCTGGTTAAAATAGGGATAAGAGAAGACTGGTCCTCCACTTGGTTACTTACTAACTCCCAGTCACAATTCCTAAGACCTCAGATCGCCTTGCAACAAAGTTGGAAAGCCAATGGGATAGTAGAAATGGCATGAGTATTGGATTTAAACATAGCTGAATTCCAGCTATGTGACAGCTCTGTGACCCTGAGTAAATTACTTAAGTTGAAATGGGTAATTGTAAAGAATAATTG